CAGGGAAACCATAGTCTACAGATGGTGGTCGGAGAGGCTGTAGTCAGTGGGTGATGGAGGTCAGAAAGATCGTAGTCAGGTGATGGCTGTCAAAAGGACTGTAGCCTGCGAGCGATGGATGTCGAAAAGATTGTGGGTGCGTGACAGTGGTTTGAAGAGTTGCAGTCATACGGAGGCAATCGAAAAAACTGTAGTTTGGCGACGGCGGTTAGGGAAATCTGTGAGACCTCGTTCCCTTACTGTTCCTCTCTAGCTTAGATTTTCCTCCCAGGATCGTCCGGGACGATAGTGAGATCGTCCAGGCCGATCTGTACTGTTCAAAATACCGTCCTGAAAATAGTTCTGGGAACCGTCCAGGACGATCGATTTTGGTCTGATCGTCCCGGGACGATCTTGCAATCGGCCGGGCCGATCAGCCTAATGATATAAGAAAATCAGCTCGTTTTGAGGAAAGAGAAAATCATTTTTATAAAATCAGATATTTTGAAGAGAGAGAAAGAGAGGAAAAGTAAAGGAAATCTTGGGTTTCGGAGGCCGCGGAGCGCTTTTCATCCGACGCCGTTGTTGGAGAAAGTGAAGATCTCGTGGTAAGGACTCCGAATCCTATTTCTGTTTTCGAAGATATTGAGTTTTGATCGAGTTGTGCATTGTTTTGTGTTTTCGTAGTCGAATTTTAGACCTAATTTGATATTGACACAACTTTCACCGCACAACTTTTAGAATGTTATAGATATGAACATTGTACACGATTTGAGTATTTCCTACGACGATTTTACGGTCGGAATTGATTCTACGCGATTTTAATTGAATAGAAAAATATCATGACGTGATTTGATTTGGATTCTATAGAACAATAGTCTTGTATTGATGTCGTGAATATTCTACTGTAATTTGGAGAAATTTGGAATTTGTGTATATACTGCTGCCGTGCTTTGATTTCAGTTATAGGTATTAGGTGACCTGCTGGGCTTTGTAAAGCTCATTATATGTGGTTGATATTTTCAGGTCAGGGCAAGGGAGCAGAAGATAGAAATTGATCCGGATCTTCATGTTTTTGTCTTTTGATTGATTTTGATTCTTTTGTACTCAGGATAGATTTCAGTACTGGTGATTGTAGTGTAGTTCCTAAGTATTGTACATGACCTTTTGAGATGAATCGACTTGTATATTGATGTTTTAAATTTTATAGATGTTTGATAGACCGTTTAATTGAAGGTTTTAGATAGCTCTGGTAAATTATTTGATAAATAGATTGACATTCTTTCCAAGTTAGATCTTGGGGCGTGACAAAATCATAGTTTAGAGATGGTGGTCAGAGAGGCTGTAGTCGGCATGTGACAAAGGCCAAAAATACCTTAGCAGAGTAACAGTGATTGGAAGGACCATATTCAGGGATGACGGTTAGGGAGACCATATTCTGGACTCTGGAGTTTGTGGTTGGAGAAATCGTAGTCGGTGGGCGATGGAGGTCGGAAAGATCGTAGTTGGATTACGATGTTCGGAAGGACCGTAGTTAGGCAAAGGAAATCAGAAAAGATATTAGCGGTGATGGTAATTTGAAGGACCGTTGTCGATGTGTGATGATGGTCTGAAGGACCATAGTCTAGTGACGGTCGGTGACTTGTAGGAAATCTGACAACAATCGGTGGTTTGGAGTAAGTTTGGTGACATGTTGTGGCTAGGTGGAAGTCTGACAAAAGTCTAACGACAGTCGGTGGCCAGGCAGTGGTCGAGTAAGAGCTTGGTGGCAAGATAGATCTCATTTTTCTCTTTATTCTTCCTCTTCTCCTTCCTTCCCTTGCTTGGTCCCCTTCTTTGGTAAAGAATGCGGAGTTTATTTATAATTTTTTAGGAGTGACATAGCCAGTAAATAGGGAGAACATCAATCACATGTTGGGAGTGTTTTGAATTGATGGCCGATATCGACTCCCTTAACCATAAACCATTTATCAAGTATTTAATCCTTGATCAAGAGAATCGATATCATCCGCCCATCTGAAACACTCATAACCTATCATTATTCTTCTCTTTATTTACTAGCCATATCACTGTTAAAAATTATAAATAAACCCCTCATTCTTTAAAATAAAAGTAAAGAAGATAAAGAAGAAAGAGAAATCTGAGATCTCTCTTGCCACTAAGCTCATCCTCAATCGCTGTTAGACCACCCACCATCATTGGATTCCGCAATGCATCCAAACTTCCGCCCCATTGCCGGCTATCACCGAACTTCCACATAAGTCTCTCTATTAATGTAATTTTACAATCTTCAAATTAAGGAACGAATCAAACTTTGCAACATATTCAAACAATAGTTGAATCATTTCAACTGGGTGTGATCCGTGTTTTCCAGTGGTTTCACGTTAAAAATCTTGGTGTTTTATCTTCTATATTTGTGTTCTAAATATCTATGCAGCTTCAATGCTAAGACGAAAAACCTCCTCACTCAACTGCTGTGTATATTCTAGCCGCAATAATATTATAAAATCTAAAATAAACTAGATTTAAGCTTAAGGAATTTTCGACAATAAACTCCTAATAAGCCTTATGATAAGGGGTGTAAGTGAGTTAAATTGACTCGTGAACTAGCCCAAGTTCGACTTAGTAAATGACTTGTGTGTTAAGCTTAATGAGCTAACGAGGTAAGCTGAAGCTAAAATTGGTTCAACTCATTAGCTCGAGGGCTGATTCGTTTAAAAGATGTATATATAACATGTACAAAATTCAGAATTTAAAGTACAAAGTTATTAAAAAATATTTACAAATTATATATTTTAAATATTAATTGATTATTTAATATTTTTATTATAATTTCTTATCATTATATTATTTTATTATAATAATTGTTTGGATCATAATTCTTTTTCTTTAAGGGCCGTTTGGTTTGATGCATTTAGGGTGTAGACTCTAGAGTAATCCAAATGTTGGGGTTTTAATAATTTAGGTGTTTGTTTGGATGAAAATAAATTCAAAGTAAAGTAAAACAAATATAGTGCATTCAATTTTAGTTAAATTTTTGTGTATTTGGAATTCCTTAGATTTGAGCAATTTTTCAAATACATTGCTAACTCAAGGTATTGCTGCCCCTTGTTGGCCACATCCGCCTGCCACCGCTGGCCAGCACTGTCGGCCATCACTTTCGGCCACCATTGCCATCTAACCACCGCCGGCCACCGTCCCCACCTCCGACCACCTTCGCCCACCTACCTCAGGCCAGCCACCGCTGTCCACCACCGATCACCACCGTCGGCCGTCGAATTCAGCCACCCTAGCCACCGGTATTCATTTTTCATTGCAATCACTTCACTTCAAATTTTTAAAAAAATGTTACCTAAATTCTTTATATTCTTCTAAAAAAATATTTCTTTTATACTACATTTTTTATACTCCATTTTTTTTTACTGTATTTTTTTTTAGATAACCTAACATTCTCTTAATAATAAATGAGTTGGCTCGTGGATGAGCTTGAAACTTATAGAATAAAGCCCTGGTTTTGGGTTCCATACCGCCGTCAGGAGAGAGAGGCTCTGAGATATTTTGGGAGTCCTCTAGGGTTTCTGTTGTTCTCGCCGCCGTCAGGCTTCCTCCGCCCGGGAGAGGTTGATCCCTCTCCCAGATGGAGACCAGCGATTTACCTCCGCTTCAAAATCCTTCGATTCTAGGGCCGATCCCTGCTTCTCCGAATGTCTCTTTCGCTCAAAACCTGGCAAACCCTTCTGCGACACAAGATGTTTTTCCGGTCTCCTACGTCCGTCCAAGTCAAAAACTCACCTTTAAAGAAGATGATCTAACTGAAGGTCTTTCGGTATGGTCATTCTCTTTAGTCGGTTATTCGCTAGGGCCTAGGCCTTATTATGAGCGTCTTCTCGCAGCCATGAAAAAGGTTTGGACTTTAAATGGTTCGTTTTCTTTATTATCTATGGCGGATGGTTTCTTCTTGATAAAATTTTCTAATCAAGAAGATTTTGATCTGGTTTGGTCCGGGGGACCGTGGTTTTTGTTGGGGAAACCCTTCATTATTCAAAAATAGTCCCCCAAATTCCAGCCGAAGAGGGATGAACTTTCTGCTATTCCCCTCTGGATCAAAATTGTAGATCTTCCCCTGGCTCTTTGGACTCCGAAATTAAGGAATTTCCACTATAGCCAGTTATATTGGTATTCCGATATCTGTTGACTCTCTTACAGCCAAAAGAGCTCGTTTAACTTTTGCTAGGGTTTGTGTTTCCATCTCTAAAGATTTGATATTACCTGATGAAATTCCTATTAATATCGAGGGAGAAGATATCCAGCTTAAAGTTATTTACGACTGGAAGCCTAGTCGTTGTGAAGGATGTGGATCCTTGGTTCATTCTTACTCTTCCTGCAAAACCAACCCAAATCCCATGCCTACTGTTTTTCCTCCTCCTAAACCCTGGACTAGGGGAAGAAGTGTTAGACGGAATCCTATACCTCAAAATCAAGATCCGGCGAAGCCCCCTTCTCCGAAGATGGTAAATTTGGAAAGAAATAACTCGTCCGTTATTCCCATTCCAAATTTAACTCTCCCGGTGGAAAAGGAATTTTCTTCCTTGATTCCTAATAAATGCTTTACCAACGATGCAATTATTCCTAATCTTAACTCTCCTATTGAGGAAGTTTCCTCCTCTGGCCAACCTTCTCTTCCTATGGTTATCCCTGCTCCTAAAGTTATGCTCTCTAATAAGTTTGCTGCTCTTCAATCGGAAGACCCCCCGGACCAAGAGATGGAAGGTAACGTCTCTGAAGCTAATTCAGATAATAATATTAGCTTAGAGGAGGTTTCTCATTCTCCTAACTCTTCTGGGATCAACAACCATAAGTCCCCTATCTCTGTGCAAACAAGAGCTAAAGCTTCCAGGAAGGCAAAAAATGCCAAGAATTAATGTTTTTTTCCTAATATTGCTAGTTGGAACGTTAGGGGTTTCAATAGCCCTAACAAGGTTAAAGCTTGTAGAGAGCTTGTTAGTACTTTTAATCTTAGCATGTTATGTATTTTAGAAGCTAAAGTCAATATCGAGGCCCTTGCTGATCCTTGGTTTGTTAATTCTCACACGATTTTTAACAATGAGGGCAATAGTAATAATTTCTGTCATTCCAATCCTGGTCGGATTTGGATTAAGTGGAACCCGCGGCTTATCTCTTTTTTACCCCTTTTTATTTCTTCTCAAATTATTCATGGCACTATTATTGTGGTGTCGCAATCTCCTATTTTACTTTCTGTTATTTATGCTGCTAACAATTTTAATGACAGAAATATTTTATGGGAGCAATTGAGGAGTTTGGTGCCGGACCCCTCCATGGCTTGGGTTATCATGGGGGATTTTAACTGTTACAGGTCTGAAGAGGAAAAATCCGGTGGTAACCAGTCTCCTAGTAGCCAGATGGGTGAGCTTAACAAAATTATTTTTGATTGTGGTGTGCTTGACTTAGCCTCTGTAGGTCTTTATTACACTTGGTACAATCAAAGGATCGATTCCCCCATTCATATTAAGTTAGACAGAATTCTTACTAACAATACGATGCTGGATAGATTTCCTTCGGCTTTCTATAAAGTTTTGCCTACTCATTGTTCTGACCACTCTCCGTTAATTTTATTTACCTCCATCCGGGATAAGAAACCTTCTAGATTCATGTTTAAAAATTTCTGGATTAATATGAATGGGTTTTATGAGGAGGTTTTAAATGCTTTTGATAGACATTTTAACTGCAGTCCTATTGCTGCTTTCAATAGATCTTTGCAGATTCTGAAAAAGTCTCTTAAAGTTAAGAATTGGTCTTCTTCTTGCTACATCCTTGATTCTCTGCAGGATTTTAAAGCTAGGCAGCAACAGTACATTACTGATTTACAACTTGATCCGATGAATTCCAATTTAAATTTTCTTTATAAGCAAGCTTTTGACAACATTAACATTTTAAGCAAAGCTTGGTCTTCTTGGCTTTTCCAAAGAGCCAAAACCAAATGGCTTAGGAATGGTGAAAACGACCTTGGTTTCTTATTCGCTCAGATTAGAACCATGAACAACATTAATGCTATTAAAGAGATATCCACTCCTAATGGTATTTTTGATAAGCAGGAAGATATTGTTGAGGAGGTTATTAAGCATTTTAAAGATATTTTTAATTCTCCTAAGCCGAGTAAGGAAAACAATTTCAATTTCCCTGTTGGTAATAGGATTCCTGAAAATATGATTAGCTCCTTAACTGATCTTTTTTTCTGAAACTGATATTAAAAAAGTGGTTTTTGATGGTTCCTCCTGCTCTGCCCCGGGTCCGGATGGCTTTACGTTTGAGTTTTATAAGAAGACATGGCATATCATTGGGCATTATTTGTGTAAGGCTATTAAATGTTTTTTCTCTACTAACCATCTCCCTAAAGGGGTGAAAGCATCTGCTATTACTCTCATTCCTAAAAAACCTCATGCTTCTAATATTAATGATTTCAGGCCTATTTCCTTATGTAATGTTTTTTATAAAATCATTGCTAAGCTTCTGGCTAATAGGATGATTAATATTCTCCCTTTCATCATTCATGAGAGTCAAGCTGGCTTCATCCATAATAGAAATACTACTGATAATGTTTTGTTGGCTTCAGAAGTGCTTAGAGAATTTAATTTTACTAGTAATCTGTTTTGTGCCAAACTGGATATTAGTAAGGCCTTTGATCATGTTTCTCGTTCAAAAGACATCCATCTTCATCTGTTTCAACATCCCATGCAAACATGTGGTCATCAATAGCCCGTTCTTTAAACAACTTTATAAGTGAATTAGTGTCTCCACTCTCAAACTTTGCTCTTCTTTCTTTCTGGATGTGGTTGTACGCATCCCGCTTCGTAAAACCAAGATTAGCCACACCTCCAACTTCATCAGATAGGTACGTAAATGCATCGACAGTTCTTATACCCGCTTCTGTCATAGATTTCAAAACAGATGAATTATCTTCACTAATAGACCTAGCCGACCTGAGCAGATGTTGATCATCCGGCCTAGCCAATTCGTGATTGTGACTCTCTACAGATTTCTTCACTGACCAAAGCCCCTCTTGACTCACGGAAAATCTAACCATGGCTGGACATCCAGTTCTTGTACATGATCTTCGATATTTTAACTTGGTACCGCTTTCATTCTCCTTCTTGAAACCTGCTTTAGAACATACAAAATCCTTTGATTTGATTAACCTTGTATTTGGCCAGAAATGGTGATGATCTTTCCTAACACTAAATCCAGTTGAATGCGCGTACTGGCAATATTTCGCATATGCTTCTTTCTCAGAGCTGTAAACACCCTAATAATTAATCAATCATCCATATTAGCTTTATATCTAAATATCATTCCAGAAATTAAAAACATTTAGACCGAAATTATACCAATATATACTAAACAATAACGAGTACAACTGTAATGCTCGGTAATACTCGGTATTGCTCCGTATTGCTTTGTATGGTGTATATAAATTTCAATAACTACCTAAAACCGAGGTTACGAGTTCAAGAATATTGCTCGGTATTGCTCGGTATCTCTCGGTATTGCTCGGTATTGGTCGGTATTGCTCTATACATATGCGTCCCGACATTTAACTTATCCATTATAGTCAGTACCGAACGTATACCATTCTATAATATAGAATACCAATCTAATACCGACCTAAAAAAACTAATATCGTCCTCGCAGTTTAACGATACTGCTAAAACGAACTTTTGAAACACTTTAATGAAACAGTAAAAAGTAGAAGAAAAACAAACGTTACAGATAAAAACTTACTAATATCAAATCAGAAAATGCTTCGTCATAGCTTAAAGTTTGAGTTTCCTCGCAGAACATGAAGTCTTCAAAACCGGAACCTTCATTCGATCCTTCCATCTCCTTAAAAACTTAACGACTTCTTTACGTAAGGTATTTGAAAATTACGGGAACCGTAAAGACTGTAGAACATTTTAGGTTTAATACAAGAAAGGTTTTAATACCAGGAATAGAGGTAAAAGCCGCGTATTTCTTTTGTTTCCCGCCCATTTCATATACATTACCACGGGGTAACCCAATATATTTAAAAAAAGGAGGTAAAAGCGTATGGGCTAACGTCGGGTCAATAGGGTAAAGTTAATGCCAGGTGTCGCGTTATCAAGGATTACCGAACGTAAAGATGCGTCAGGTGGGAGGACGCAATAAAAATTCCTGTGCCTGTGTATCGTCTGTTTTGTATCTGATTTTTAATAAAATGGGCTTTGCCCCGATTTACCCAAAAAAAAAAAAAAAAACCCTGGTTTGAGCTCTAACTCGGATAATTAATGAAGCTTTGACTCGTTTAAATCCCAGCTCCACGCTTCTAAAACCTCCCCTCTTAAAATAAGCCACGTAGCAATTTGTCTCTAAGGTTTCTCGCTTTTACCGGCTACAACCGGTCACCTGCGCCGCTCGAAACGGAAAAAGCCTCAACCAGTTTCAGGGCCATGACCGTATAGTCCGTCCGCCATTCGCGAATACTCTTCTATGCTTTCTCTTGGTCTGGAGTCTGTACCACCCCTTCGAGGAAAAGTGCCTTCCTTCGATCTTCGACCCATTTCTGCCTCCTCTGTTCAGCTGGAGAGATAGATCTACGGTTATATCGAGGGATTTGCGCCAGGTCTAGGGTTTTTGTCAAAGATGGGCCAGCAGGTGCTGATCTACAGCTTCGTGGCTCGGGGGACGGTGATCTTGACAGAGTATACGGAGTTCACGGGGAACTTTACGAGTATCGCTTCTCAGTGCCTCCAAAAGCTCCCTGCGAGTAACAACAAGTTTACCTATAACTGTGACAACCATACCTTCAATTATCTCGTCGAAGATGGATACAGTGAGTACTCGATCTTCTATGTATTCGATGTCCTGTATTTTCAGCTGCATAGTTTGTGTCGGAAGTCGGGGATCCGATTCTTTGTGTTTTTAAACGTTTTATTAATTTGTTTGTTTGGAGGATGGGAAATCTAGGGCTCAGGTTCGATTGTTTGCTTCCGTGCTTTGGTATGGATCGTCTTTTAAGAATTTTTTGTTCGATTATGTTGCTAATATTATTCAATATCAAGTCCTTTGTACGTGCTCCATGTAGATTGAATTATTTTGAGACGGCGGTGGAAATTGACGAGAAATACACCATAAAATTGCCCTGCTTCCAGATCTGACTTGGAGAGCTACCACGGCTCTCATAAGTATTGTGTGCAGAAAACTGGTGAACTTTGGGTTCCTCGGATACTAAGCTTTATGTTATTATCCTGTTTGGGATTAATTGAATCTAAATCAGGGAAAGAAGGAGTGAATTATAAGTTTTAAGGTGTACAAATGCATATATTGCTCTAGATGCTTAGAATTAACATTGCTAATTTTATAATCTTTTATAAACACATTTTCTATAAATACAGTCTTGGCATCATCATCATCATTTGCCTTATATCAATTATCTGATGTTGGATTTATGAGTCCTGCATTTATTATTATTGAGTGCAACTTGAGGTTTTAACTCTATTTTAGACAAATATTTATACAAATTTCAAGATGGATTACCTTTTGTATATGAATTTTTTATCTTCACAATATTTTTAATTCCATCTATTTGTCTTCTTAGCTCATATTTTATTCTTTGCTGTTAATAATATGGCCTAAATGACCTAGCTCTTCTTCAAGTATCTAATCTATTATATATTATATGTTCTACTTCCATTACCTCTCTAATTTAATCATTTAATGTTTTATCTTTCATAGTTTTACCACATCTACCATAGTGTTCTTACTTAGCACTATTAACTTAACTATCAACGACTTGTTTCTGGCCTAACACTCTGATCGATATAGAATATTTAGTTTAAATATAGTGTTATGAAAAATTGCCTTTAGAGATCTATAAGATATTATCTTACCACATCGTACTCTCGAGGCACATTCTTGTTTTAACCATTTAACTCTAACTTTAAAAGTTGAATCCTTGTGTGAATCCCCTTATGTTTTTACCTCAAAACTATGACATCTATCACACATTGATATCACTTGATTTTTTCGTTATATTGAATGATATTTATTGTTTTCATATTTAATAAAATTATGTATTATGTGCACATCATTCAATCCGCTAATGTTATGGCCCTTAAAAATATCCTTCATAACTCACCTCTTAAATCAAAAGGGTTTTCATTTTTCAAAGCTACGTCATCAACAAATAGCACACATTAGAGTGCGTCATTTTGAATACCTTTGTAACTTTATTAGAAACAATAGAAAACTCTAGGTTTAATGGCTTAATGTTGATCCTTGATATTTTACAGTCACAGGCATATCTTTTGATAAGTTCAACATACTCATGATACACCTTTTTTTAAAAACACCTATTAATTAATTTCTCATTGTTCTTGAAAATACATTGTTAGAAGCCCAATAAATATTATATTTACATGATTTGGTTGCTCTCTATCTTTTTTCATTGATTGTCTTAGATTAAAAATCATACCCATAGTAGATGTTTTTGTCATAAAGCTATGAATTTTTTTTTTTTTTTTTCAGATTTATGTTTCATTACCCTCAACTCTACTTGATGAGTCATAGGCTTGATCATCTTGTCATTATTGAAGTTTGAATGTCTTATTTTTTTCTTAAATATTTGAACTAAATTTTTTTCTTTAGTTAATAGGTAGTTTCTTAGTTTTTATGATTTCATTAAAAAAGAATGTGAACCAAATTGCTCCAATATCCTCAACGTTCCAAACTTCAATGGCATCTCATATGAATATAAACCTTTACTTCATGCATCTTCTTCAAAGTTATTTCATTTCAACTTGTTTTGAATTAATCTATAACATATCTCAAATCTAAACCCCACATAGTTGGATAAATGATTGATGTTGTTGTTGTATATCTCAAAACTTTGTTGATTTTTCTTTGTCGAAGGTTCTTTTTTGTTAAATTCTCATTTAATAATTTCTTAAAGTAATATTCCATATATTCTTTTTATCTTCATTTTTAATTGATGTTCACTTGTATGATGTCTAGTTTGGTTCAAATTTAGGGTCATTTTCTCTTAGCTTAGTTATTTTATATATCATATTTTCTATTTTTTAGCACCTATCGAAATTTAAAGTCATCTTGAATTGTAGTCTTATTTTTCATCGCTACTATCTTTACAAAATCACTTGATTTGTTGTAATTCTTGCATGTGTGTAGAATTTTTTATCATTCTTTGGGAGCACATTTCTTGACCCCGCTTTCCTCTTGAATATTCTCACTCCACAACATCTCTTGTGCATAATTTATCTTGTAGATTTTTCTAAATTTTAATGAGAATCTTCTCTGTTCTTCTATGTATTTAAACATTCATTATGCTTGATTTAACTTAAATTTATATTTTCCTCCTTTAACAACCTATCTTGGAAAGTCATCTTGTTAGCTTTTAAATTTTACCATCTTATCCTAGGCTAAGTATTATTTAATTAATTTTTCATTCAATTAAGCATGCATTTATTATTATTAAACAAGAAGCGCATGTTGCCTTAAGCTTTAGTTGGGGCCTTACATATAAGCAATCAATCCTTGTTCAAGCACTTAAGAAACCAACTTGGTTTTCTATTCTTTAAGAGGTTTGACGATAAATGCCATGGCACCAACTAGGGGTTTAAATGAGTCGAGTTGAATTGAGTATCTGCCTAATCGAGCCAAGCTTGTTTAGTTTTTATTGAGCTTGAGCTTGACTCGAGCTCATTTATCAAGCTCGAACTCGACTCGCTAAAAAATTTGTAGGCTCGAGTTAGACTTGATTGTTTGAGCTTGTTTAGAAAGCTCGAGCTTTACTCATTTGTTGAGCTCGATTTCTTAGTTTTAAACTTAAAAAATTTAAATTTTAAAGAATTTTTTTACATTCTAATATAGGATTAATTTAACAATGTTAAAATATATTATATAATGTTAATTTAAATTAATTTTTAAATATATTTTAAGTTAATCAAGCGACTCAACAAGCTTTCGAGCCGAGTCCGGCAGAGCTTGAGCTCGTTTAATATACAAGCTCGAGCATAACCTTAAGCTTGAACTCGTAGCTCAATAAACTCGATTTGTGAGCTCTTTAATGAGTTGAGGTCGATCTGGTTCACTAGCTAGCTTGGGTCACTTACACCCATTGCACCCCACCCATAAAATTTTACTATTTAACCTTGTAAGGTCAGATAATTGCATTTGGGCAACCTTAAAGGGCTTCAGTTTGAAAGTGTCCATCTCTTCAAAGTTTTGATCTTCAATTTTTAATCATTGAATGATTTGATTTTCAACTCTTGAGCCCTATGACGTTTGAGCTAAGGTTTTTAGAATTTTAGATATTTTAAATGATCAAATTGTTGTTCTATTTATAGACTCGAGTAAGGGATATTAAGGAATTATAAAAAATATTTGTTGGAGGGATTATGTTTATAGCGGCCATGCTAAGGTTTGCCTTACCATCAATCTTTGCATTTTGGAGTAAGTCATATCAACCCTTGACTTGGGTAGCAAAAATTGATTGAATTGCCTAGATTGATTTTGTCAGATAGTCACCCTTGTTAGGGAATTTTTTTTAAACATAAGGAGAGGCATAGGCTATCGGGATATCTTGCTGTCCTACAATTGGAGAAGGAAACATTTAAATCTTTATCAATATTAGTGTCAATGATCAATAATGTGACCTAGCTGTTGGCAACACCGTGGTGTTAAAGTAGCATTGCGCCGATGCCGAGATTTATCATAGTGATGTTGCCACCTTAAGGGGAAAAAGAGGCCCCCCACCAACATTAAGCAACCGCATTAGTGGTGTTGGTGGGTTCCAAAGCATGCAGAGCCTTTGATCAAGGAAAATGGGATGTATAAACCTTGGGTAT